TTGGTTTAGGGTTAAATGCATGTAATTATGCATAATTTATATTGTATACGTGTGTGTATATATATATAACATATATGTGCAAAATGTATAACAAGGACACTGTAAAATAAAGTGTTACCAGGATATAAAAAAAAAGTAAAGCTTAAACTTAAAGAGAGAATAGACTTTTATAACTGTTTCTTAACACACTTTATGTACACTTATATACTATACTTTAGTATGCCATAGTATTTTCTTCTCTATTGTGCCGTATATCCGAGTGAAACGCTTCTGGAACAAGATCAAATGTGGGTGGGGCTTGATTGTGTCAGTGGGGAATTGATTGGCTGGTTGGATGGTTGTGGTTTGCTATTGGCTGATCTCATGTGAGTGACAGGTTATAGCCCCGCCCTCGTCATCAGAGAAGAGAAGAGATGATGTGCACAGATAAATCATTTGTAATAAATAGTAAATACTGTAGAAACTGTAGTAATTCTGCCAGACAAACACAAACAGTTATAAGTGCACAAAGTGCTGTATTATAAAACACAAATCAGCGCTGTCATTTACAGTAAAAGAGCGGAAGCCATTTATACGGTGACATCAACACAGCTAACCAAAAATATGCCCTAAAACCATTTAGCCAACATTCCCTTTAAGTCATGAAAAGGTTATTTTTGTATGTTCTCCATTTATTTTTTTTGGTTATGCAGACATGAAGGAAACATAATGAGAACGTTGCTTTTTAATGTTCTCTGAAAGTTCTGAAACAAGTAGAACATTTAAACAAAATGTAGAAGAACGTCCAACTATAACGTTTCAGAGAAAAGCTTCCATGATAGATGTATACATAATGTGTTTGTGCTAATGGTTTGAGAACTTTATTAAGGACCAGATAACTTTGAATCAACGCTCTATTAACGTTGCTGGAATAAGTTTTCCCAGAAGAGCGTTCCTGTTAGCTGTGCATACAGCAACTTCACTTGAACCCTGTTCAGAATGACTTCATTTCCGTATAATCCGAGCGCTGCAGAAGAACAGATGTTGCGCAGTGAGAATCGCCGAGTAAAGGAGATTCAGAGAGAGACCCGAAGGCAGATCATACTGTAATTTTCCATCTGCACATCAGGAATGTCCACCTCATGATCAGAGATGTGTTTGCACAGGACACACACCGCAATACTGATACAGTGCATATGAATTTAAACATGTATTGTTTGTCTTTAAGTCTTTGAACGGGTTGGCACCACAACACCTGGAGACATTAGCGAACTGGCCCTCCTCTGTGAGGCCCCTGAGATCCTCTGACCAGTTCCTCTTACTGGTTTCCAGATTACAGATTAAAACTCAAAGGGGATCGTGCGTTTGCAGTTTCTGCCCCCAAACTTTGGAATTCAGTGGCTTTTTGTATTAGATCTGCTCAGACATTTACAGTTTTAAATCTTTGCTAAAAGGTTCGCGTTTTTAAAAGTTTGCGTAGAGTTTTCTGTTAAAACGGTGTCGTGTTAGCGGCCCCTAAGTTAATAACTAATGATCGTTGGGACGGAAGTGAATCAATTAAAACTAACTTTAGCTGGAAAATAACTTTATTCTAGAGCTGTCATAAAGCCAAAACAATCTCTGTTACTGTAATTTCCTATTATCACTGTAAAGCAGCTTTGGAAAAATCTACAATGTTAAAAGCGCTATATAAATGAAGATGACTTGACTTAGATCTCATTTATTAACGACGGCTTTCAATAACCCGGGTTATTAATTCTTATGTGTGTGCGTTTCCTTGTTGTATGTTTGTTTTATTATTATCGATGTACAGCACTTTGGGCAAACTTGGTTGTATTGAAATGTGCTTTAAAACAAAAAATATATGTACAATATTTGATTTCACTGTAACTGTCTGCTGTCAGGCAAGTGTACCAAGAGCTGTATTATAAAACGCAAAACAATACTGTCATTTACAGCGGTAACCATCAAGCGATATGTTTTATCATCATGAGCAATCCAATCCATGACCTTGACCTTGCTAAAGTCCTTTACCGGCAAACATCAGTAACACACTGGACCTTCTTCACAAGCCCGCCTGAGGTTTGATACGATATCATAGACAGTCAGTGATATAAAGAACATATGCTTCACTGTGATGGTGCTGGCTTTATTGGTTATACTCCATAAAACAATTTGATTTAAGCTGGAAGCTGGAAAATATGCTCATCTTCATAATTCATACTAGGTGTTTTATTATACGTCGCCTCTGTGTTAGTGCAAATTGAGTGTCTAAAGCAGAGGACGTCAGTGATGTTTATAACAGGAGACTCTCAAATGTGAAGGATCCCATCATTACTCTACCAATGGTCTGAGAAAGAAAGAGAGCGTTTATTGTCTTCTTCGGGAATCTAATCTGGGATCAGGCCGAGGAAAATGCGTCTGCTTAAACGTCCGCCTAACTGGGAATCAAGTTATTAGCCTGACAAAGTGGTGTTGTTGTCCGATTGTGATCTGCAAGTCAGTGCAAAATCCCAGTCTGGGAATCTCTCATCCCAGAACAACACTGCGCCCTGCTGGACGAAACACTTCACACGCCATTCATGAAGCCCGAAGTGCTTGTGTTTAATGGTTCATTTAGATGCTAACTCATTACAGTCAAGAATCGCTAACACTGGTTTCGGTAACACTTTACAATCAGGTTCATTAGTTAACATTAATGTATGAACTAACAATGAGCAATACATTTGTTACCGTATTTATTAATCTTTCTTAATGTTAGTTAATAAAAATACTGTTTCAATGTTTGCTCATGTTAGTTCACGGTGTATTAAATAATGTTAACAAATGCAACCTTTGATTTGAATAACGTATTAGTAAATGTTGAAATTAATATTAACTAAGATTAATAAATGCTGAAGAAGTATTGTTCATAGTTCATGTTAACTAATGAACCTTATGTAAAGTGTTACTCTAGTTGTATATCACATGGAAACCCCGTCTAAAATTTCTTTGAAAATATTAAAGATTTATACAATTCCCTTTTCATGAAGATATTAAAGGAATCTGCGGCTCTGCGTTCTTCAATAAATATAATACATTTATACTCACAAAGTGACAAAACAAACACACCCCTCAGTTTAACTCAATATTTCCTACACATTATACACACAGTATATCTGAAAATAAAACAAAATAAGTAAAATGTAATTAATTGATAGAGCAACCTCTCTACTAGTCATTTATGATTTCATATTACACTCACTTGAGCAGTTTCTAGCAGATTAACTCATTTAGAATAACTAGAAAAATGTATATTCACTACAAAAATTTAAATGTTTAAAAATAATTTCATAGACTGTGCTCACAAAAAAAAAAATGTATCTGAATTAATATTTTAGAAATATTAATAATATACTTCATTTCCAGGATGTTATATATATTTCACTAAAATTCCCTTGTATATTGTATTACAATTATACACACTTTAAAAATGTCCTGATATTTCCAGTGTTTCCCTGATTGCAAATCTCATCAAATCTACATACATTCATTTCTAATTTAATACAGACACATAACAGCAAAAATAGGCTAAAATATAGGCTACACAAAACTCAGACACACGCACATTTAAATTAAAACACGAAAAATTCGTTCCACCTCGTATTTCAGCCACATCACGTCACGATCAGCGAAGGCCTGGTGTGTGTTTCCCGTACAGCGGCGTAACTCACCGATTCACTATCATAGAGCGGTGCGTCGTTGAAGAAATCAACTAGTCCAACCCGATCTCACGGCAATTCGTATTAATTTTACGAGGTGGCTAATTCGTACGAATGACCTACCCGTGACCCCGCCCCTAAACCTACCCGTGACCCCGCCCCTAAACCTACCCGGGTGACCCCGCCCCTAAACATACCCGTGACCCCGCCCCTAAACTTACCCATCACCTGGGTTTAGACAAATCGTACGAATTCGAACAAATGACGTTGTATGAATTCGTAGGGAATTAGCCACCTTTTAATCACTCGTACGAATTCGTATAAATTGGTCGTGAGATAGCGTTGGCTAGTTTCCCGAAACCATTTTGTTGCAAATTGGTCGTTCAACCACATTGGTTAATGATGTCACGCACGTGGTGGAGTAATAACTACTTTTAATGAATCTGTATGAGATCGAATTAATGCTAGATGTTTTGCTATACGTTTTTCAAAATTTTCTCGTTCACACATGCGCACTCTTCAAAAACAACACTTTAAATCTCTTGACAAACTAAAAGTCGTAAATAATGACATTTGTATGTATTCTGAATAAAAGACACAGGTTGCACTGAATGTCAGTTTGCTTATTTTGCTCAAGATCAGGATTTATTGAGTCCACATGTCATGCAAACTAGAGACTCTGCTTCTAATCACAGCTCAAGATCTGTCGCTCACACACACAACTCTGCGATGCTGTTTGCGAATGTTTGCTGGAACAATGGTTTCGGGAAACACCGACTCGCTGAACTATGATGATAACAACAGAACTTGCGACCATAGTTGTTTTAAAGGTGCAGTCTGTAAGATTGACAGCTAGTGGTCGAAATTGGTACTGCAGTCCAAATTAAAAATATCGGAGACCGTTGTCTCCCCGCCTCCTCAGACTCGACGCTCACGTGGGTTGCCAGATTGAGAACACGGAACAGGAACGAGCTCAATTGACAATGAAAGCCGAGGAGACTTACACACTGTAAATTGATGAGTTGATTTATTCGTGTTTTAATATGCGCTCATTCATAGAGATTTTATGATACAGAGGCTTTTAGGTTGTGAAGAATCTGCGATCTCTGACCCAGTTTATTTGCTGGCTGCAATACGCTGTGTTTCCCACCAACTGGCAACCCGGGGTGTCGAAATACTATTGGCTGAGCTGGCAGTGGGCGGAGTCACACAGACCAAAACAAAAACCGACTGACATCACGAAACGTGTAAAATAATGAGTAAAATAACTGGCTGTAGAAGTGTTTTTTAGAGAAACGAGTATGTGAACTCAGCATGTTTCCTAAAATCTGGAAACATATTGCTTTAGTAGAGTGAAAACGTTACATATTCAGCACCTTTAACGAAGCTTTGGGGAAACACACCCCTGCTCTACTGATGACTGGTTGTGTTGGTGCTTCACATGGTGTTGTCGTAGGAGGGCGTGGAGTACTGTGGGGTCTGCGGGGTCTGAGGGCCCTGTAAGGACCCCAGGGCTGCCTGCGTCGCTGCCTGCTGAACGTGAGGGTTTTTCCAGGCGCCGGAGACCCACTCCTCCTGCGCTTTACTCATGCTCCCGCCACTGCCGCGGTAGAAGTTATGAACCTGCCGAACACAGGACGTCTCAGTGATGAGCAGCACAATCATGTTCATCAGTGTCAGTTTTATAAAAAAAAACAATTAAAAAGGTTACTGTGACTTTTTTATCTCACATTTCATACTTTTATTTTTTTTTCGCTATATAAACTTGCAATTGCGAGATAAAAAAAAAACCTTGTAATTCTGAGAAGAAAAGTCTGAATTGTGCGATTAAAAAGATGAAATGATCATTTTTACTTTTTCATTTCGTGATGGACACAAAAAAAATGTGAGATGTAAAGAAAATATGAGAAAAAGTCAGTATTGTGAGGTGTAAACTCAGAATTCAGAGAAAAAAGTCAGAGTTTAGAGGGTGGAACATTTCTGAATTGTGAGGTATAAGAAAATTAAGGGAAAAAAGTCAGAATTGTAAAATATTTTGAGGAAAAAAGTCAGAATTGAGGGATGTACAAGAAAGAAGAAAAAAAAGTCAGAATTGTGAGGTGTAAAAAAATGTAGAGAAAAACAAAGGATTGCGAGATATTAAAAACACACATCACACGAAAGACACTCAGCCCAAGACTTCTACACACACATCACACGACAGACACCCAGCCCAAGACTTCTACACACACATCACACGACAGACACTCAGCCCAAGACTTCTACACACACATCACACGACAGACACACAGCCCAAGACTTCTACACACACATCACACGACAGACACCCAGCCCAAGACTTCTACACACACATCACACGACAGACACACAGCCCAAGACTTCTACACACACATCACACGACAGACACTCAGCCCAAGACTTCTACACACACATCACACGACAGACACTCAGCCCAAGACTTCTACACACACATCACACGACAGACACTCAGCCCAAGACTTCTACACACACATCACACGACAGACACTCAGCCCAAGACTTCTACACACACATCACACGACAAACACCCAGCCCAAGACTTCTACACACACATCACACGACAGACACCCAGCCCAAGACTTCTACACACACATCACACGACAGACACCCAGCCCAAGACTTCACACACACATCACACGACAGACACTCAGCCCAAGACTTCACACACACGTCACACGACAGACACCCAGCCCAAGACTTCTACACACACATCACACGACAGACACTCAGCCCAAGACTTCACACACACGTCACACGACAAACACCCAGCCCAAGACTTCTACACACACATCACACGACAGACACTCAACCCAAGACTTCTACACACACATCACACGACAGACACCCAGCCCAAGACTTCACACACACGTCACACGACAGACACCCAGCCCAAGACTTCTACACACACATCACACGACAGACACACAGCCCAAGACTTCTACACACACATTACACGACAGACACCCAGCCCAAGACTTCTACACACACGTCACACGACAGACACCCAGCCCAAGACTTCTACACACACATCACACGACAGACACCCAGCCCAAGACTTCTACACACACATCACACGACAGACACACAGCCCAAGACTTCTACACACACATTACACGACAGACACCCAGCCCAAGACTTCTACACACACGTCACACGACAGACACCCAGCCCAAGACTTCTACACACACATCACACGACAGACACCCAGCCCAAGACTTCTACACACACATCACACGACAGACACCCAGCCCAAGACTTCTACACACACATCACACGACAGACACACAGCCCAAGACTTCTACACACACATTACACGACAGACACCCAGCCCAAGACTTCTACACACACGTCACACGACAGACACCCAGCCCAAGACTTCTACACACACATCACACGACAGACACTCAGCCCAAGACTTCTACACACACATCACACGACAGACACCCAGCCCAAGACTTCTACACACACATCACACGACAGACACCCAGCCCAAGACTTCTACACACACATCACACGACAGACACCCAGCCCAAGACTTCTACACACACATCACACGACAGACACCCAGCCCAAGACTTCTACACACACGTCACACGACAGACACCCAGCCCAAGACTTCTACACACACATCACACGACAGACACACAGCCCAAGACTTCTACACACACATTACACGACAGACACCCAGCCCAAGACTTCTACACACACGTCACACGACAGACACCCAGCCCAAGACTTCTACACACACATCACACGACAGACACCCAGCCCAAGACTTCTACACACACATCACACGACAGACACACAGCCCAAGACTTCTACACACACATTACACGACAGACACCCAGCCCAAGACTTCTACACACACGTCACACGACAGACACCCAGCCCAAGACTTCTACACACACATCACACGACAGACACCCAGCCCAAGACTTCTACACACACATCACACGACAGACACCCAGCCCAAGACTTCTACACACACATCACACGACAGACACACAGCCCAAGACTTCTACACACACATTACACGACAGACACCCAGCCCAAGACTTCTACACACACGTCACACGACAGACACCCAGCCCAAGACTTCTACACACACATCACACGACAGACACTCAGCCCAAGACTTCTACACACACATCACACGACAGACACCCAGCCCAAGACTTCTACACACACATCACACGACAGACACCCAGCCCAAGACTTCTACACACACATCACACGACAGACACCCAGCCCAAGACTTCTACACACACATCACACGACAGACACCCAGCCCAAGACTTCTACACACACATCACACGACAGACACACAGCCCAAGACTTCTACACACACATTACACGACAGACACCCAGCCCAAGACTTCTACACACACGTCACACGACAGACACCCAGCCCAAGACTTCTACACACACATCACACGACAGACACTCAGCCCAAGACTTCTACACACACATCACACGACAGACACCCAGCCCAAGACTTCTACACACACATCACACGACAGACACCCAGCCCAAGACTTCTACACACACGTCACACGACAGACACCCAGCCCAAGACTTCTACACACACGTCACACGACAGACACCCAGCCCAAGACTTCTACACACACATCACACGACAGACACCCAGCCCAAGACTTCTACACACACATCACACGACAGACACCCAGCCCAAGACTTCTACACACACGTCACACGACAGACACCCAGCCCAAGACTTCTACACACACATCACACGACAGACACACAGCCCAAGACTTCTACACACACATCACACGACAGACACCCAGCCCAAAACTTCTACACACACATCACACGACAGACACCCAGCCCAAGACTTCTACACACACATCACACGACAGACACCCAGCCCAAGACTTCTACACACACATCACACGACAGACACCCAGCCCAAGACTTCTACACACACATCACACGACAGACACCCAGCCCAAGACTTCTACACACACATCACACGACAGACACTCAGCCCAAGACTTCTACACACACATCACACGACAGACACCCAGCCCAAGACTTCTACACACACGTCACACGACAGACACTCAGCCCAAGACTTCTACACACACATCACACGACAGACACCCAGCCCAAGACTTCTACACACACATCACACGACAGACACCCAGCCCAAGACTTCTACACACACGTCACACGACAGACACCCAGCCCAAGACTTCTACACACACATCACACGACAGACACCCAGCCCAAGACTTCTACACACACGTCACACGACAGACACCCAGCCCAAGACTTCTACACACACATCACACGACAGACACCCAGCCCAAGACTTCTACACACATCACACGACAGACACACAGCCCAAGACTTCTACACACACATCACACGACAGACACCCAGCCCAAGACTTCTACACACACATCACACGACAGACACCCAGCCCAAGACTTCTACACACACATCACACGACAGACACCCAGCCCAAGACTTCTACACACACGTCACACTACAGACACCCAGCCCAAGACTTCTACACACACGTCACACGACAGACACTCAGCCCAAGACTTCTACACACACATCACACGACAGACACCCAGCCCAAGACTTCAACACACATCACACGACAGACACTCAGCCCAAGACTTCTACACACACGTCACACGACAGACACTCAGCCCAAGACTTCTACACACACGTCACACGACAGACACTCAGCCCAAGACTTCTACACACACATCACACGACAGACACCCAGCCCAAGACTTCTACACACACATCACACGACAGACACCCAGCCCAAGACTTCTACACACACATCACACGACAGACACCCAGCCCAAGACTTCTACACACACATCACACGACAGACACCCAGCCCAAGACTTCTACACACACATCACACGACAGACACTCAGCCCAAGACTTCTACACACACATCACACGACAGACACCCAGCCCAAGACTTCTACACACACATCACACGACAGACACCCAGCCCAAGACTTCTACACACACATCACACGACAGACACTCAGCCCAAGACTTCAACACACACATCACACGACAGACACCCAGCCCAAGACTTCTACACACACATCACACGACAGACACCCAGCCCAAGACTTCTACACACACATCACACGACAGACACTCAGCCCAAGACTTCTACACACACATCACACGACAGACACCCAGCCCAAGACTTCTACACACACATCACACGACAGACACCCAGCCCAAGACTTCTACACACACGTCACACGACAGACACCCAGCCCAAGACTTCTACACACACATCACACGACAGACACCCAGCCCAAGACTTCTACACACACGTCACACGACAGACACCCAGCCCAAGACTTCAACACACACATCACACGACAGACACTCAGCCCAAGACTTCTACACACACGTCACACGACAGACACTCAGCCCAAGACTTCTACACACACATCACACGACAGACACTCAGCCCAAGACTTCTACACACACATCACACGACAGACACCCAGCCCAAGACTTCTACACACACATCACACGACAGACACCCAGCCCAAGACTTCTACACACAC